ACACACACACACACACACACACACACACACACACATCCAGATATATCGTTCTTCACTGAATATAGTAGAGGTTATAAAGATAATTTAGTTTATTTCAATATAATATGATATGAAATAGCCATAGCTCAATTTATAATCAATCAAAAAAAAAGTGAAAGAGCCAGTTTGTTGTAATGGTTCAGACATTAAGATAGAAATGAGGAAACTACGAGTTCTGGTTCCACCTTTTGCATAAATCCAACTGGGTAGCTTTGGGACAGTCACTTTTTTTAGCCCTAGAAAGAGGCAATGGCAGACCAATTTTGAAACCCTTTCCAAGAAAACTGCAAGGACTTGTTCAGGCAGTTTCCCCAAAATTTGACATAATTGAATGGTGGGGAAAAAATAGAATAAATTTTAACAGATATACAGTAGCCAAAAATCCAACTGAGAGGAATTTATGCAACCCTAACTAATTAGTTATTTTTTCATAATCTAGTCTTAAAATAACAATTAATATAATATGTGCATTTCTGGTCTGAGATTTTTTTTTCTAACCACAGTATATTAACACATCTCTTTGTAACAAACGAATGTGGATAACTGTTTTTTTTAAAAAAGAAACCTTGAAGAAGCTATATGGCTACAACCTTAATAAATTATTCAATGTGATTATTTAATTTTAAGTGCAGATTGATGCTTTATATATTCCTCTTAATTATTTGGTAATTAGTAAGTAAATACAAAAAAAAAGTTAGGAATACAGTTAACCACCAAAATTGTGAAGATTCAAAATAATTAAAAAGTAATTGTTTTCTGGTATCTTTATTTTTTAACAAATAAATTATCTTAAAAAAAGAAACAAAAAGTAAAATGCAAAAAGTAAAATGCAAAAAGTAAAATACAAACTACAAAGAAAAAGAAGTATCTTATATAGTATTTTATACTTATCAACAGCCACGAGTTTACCAATGAAATTCACTAATATAATATGAACAGTACAATATATTATTGAAATATATCACAGAATCTCTGCAGTAACAATATTACTGCACCCTTGTAAAACAATATTACGGCACCCTTTCTTATCCAAAAGAGATAGGTCACAAATTTATGACAACCATTCCTTGACAATAATATAACTTTTACATTTCTTAATATAATGCTTTTTGCCACCTTCTAAAATAACTCAGTGTTGAGCTCTCTGATCATTTAACTTTCTATTGAAAAATTACATTCATCACATTCTTATGCTATTTCATAAAATCAGTATTGTCTTGGTTCCTAAAAACCCAATATTATGCAACTTATGTATATAGAGACGAGGTGGTGCCTGGTTAGAGTGTAGTACTGCAGGCTACTTCAGCTGACTGCTAGCTGCAGTTCGGCAGTTCAACTCTCACCAGCTCAAGGTTGAGTCATTCTTCCATACTTCCAAGGTGGGTAAAATGAGGACTCAGATTGTTGGGGGCAATATGCTAACTCTGAAAACCACTTAGAGGGGGGTGCTGTAAGAACACTATTAAGCGGCATATAACTCTAAGTGCAATTGATATTGCTATTAATCTTATAAGAGTTTTCTTTCTCATTTGAAGGTCCACCTGACAGAATCCCACCACCAACAAGACCCTTGCCGACAGTACCTCCACATCGTTCTGTCCCTCCAGCTGATCCTAGGAAGAATGATAGGGCAAAAGCTCCTCGCCCACCCACAGGGGATAAGCCCTCCTACCCTGGTGTCAAACCCAATATCTGTGATGGAAATTTCAATACTCTAGCCATTCTCCGCCATGAAATGTTTGTTTTCAAGGTAGGCGGCCATTCTTTTTTTTAAAAAAAATATTAGAGCAAGAGAATGCATCTTCACTTTTTCAAAAACCAGCTCTCATTCAGCTTCTGAGATTTCTTGCTCTTTCCAAGTCCAAGGGAGACATCTGAATGGCTTACATGTTTAACAGAGAAAAGGCTGGAATGTGCTATTTTGAGGAATGAATTAATGTCAGCAGGAAATTGCAATGCTTCAAAAATGTGATGGTAAGTAAATACTGAATGTTATGGAGAGATAAAAAAGGCATAATTCAAGTCATGAATAGAAGCTAATAGGGATGATTTGGTTGGGAATTTAGCCATTTCCACACTCATTGCTATTATTGTGTTTTATGTATAAGCACCCTGTAATTTAACTTTATAATTAGATCAGACACTTTATAAAAGATACTTGACATTGTGTTGTGGTTGCCTTGATACATTCTGAGTGGAGGCCAGTGTTAAAAGAAAAGCTTTGCAGGTGTTTGAAGGCTTTTTGTTATCGATATTTCTGAGTTGTTTTAATTTTTGTTTGTTTGAAGATGCGTCCATATGGCACCTATTTTGATTTTAAATAGAGTTCAGTCAATATTCAAAGACAATCAAAGCAAATCTATTGACTGGACCACAATAATAATACAGCACATTTTCTTGAATGATTTCCAAAATGCAACAGGGCCATAATTTTAAATGAATTTTTCAGGATATTTTGTTACAAGTTTTCAAAATTAAACAGAGGATATGACATTCTATTAGCTTCCAAACATGTATTTTAATTTTATATTTTCTTGAATTAGCTGTGATTTTTTAAAAATATTATGTGAATATTTAAATAAATGTGCTTCTAGGGTCCACAGAGTCTCTTAACTTTTCTTAGAAAATATATTTATAGAAACAACATTTAAGGATTAATAGGATAAGTGTTCTATTTGTTAGTTTGTTACCTAATATATTTTTATGGGGTCCTTCTCATTTTATCTGAGGCCTCAGAGCTATACAAAGATCAAGATAATTCAAAAATATCAACCTCTAATGCATAGAATACAACTGATTCAATATGAGATGTTTCTGTGACTTCATAACTGAATTACATTTCCTATAGAAAAGAAAATATATACAAGGGACTTGCATGTAAATTACATCTAAAATACAATGAGCAGATTGATAGATAGTTTAGAATTTTATTGACATTCATTGGGACTCTCAGCAAATGATAAGTTGGATCAAATTGTAGGCAACAAATGATACTGACATTTCTTCAATGTAAAGTTGGGCATTGTGATCCTTCCAAATGCCAATACAAAATGCCAATACAAAAACAGCCCTCATTCCCCAGAGGCCTAGGGCAACAAACCTCAGCAGAAGGAAGACCTGCCTAAAGGCAGAGGGTGCTAAGAATCATCGGGTTAAATCAGGCTGCCTTTGGACATAGGAGCGGTCAACATTTGAACAATGAAACTACACACCTGTATAGGGAACAGTAAATATAAAGATTGCATTTTAATTCCTACTGTATTTTAGAATATAAACTACAGAACATTTAATGAACATATTCTCTAAATTAGTCCATCTAGTCAGTGGTTCTCAACCTGTGGTTCGAGACCCCTTTGGGGGTCGAATGATCCTTTCACAGGGGTCACCTAAGACCATCGGAAAACACATATTTTCAATGGTCTTAGGAACTGAGACACCAATTTTATGGTTGGGGGTCACCACAACCCGAGGAACAGTATTAAACGGTTGCGGCATTGGTTGAGAACCACTGATCTAGATTAACAGAGAAACCAAGCTCCATGAATATCAAGCATTTTTGTAGTGTTTCTTTTTTTAAAAAAAAAAAATAATCTTTATTGGTTATACATTTTTTTAATAAGACATACAAATATATCTTTAAACATACAAACCCTCCCCCCTCCCGATGACAGTCATTCACAGCCCAACATTTTTTTCGTCTTCATTGTTTAGTCTCTAACTAGCATCTTCTTGTTACAAAATTCAGGGATCTATTACAATACCACGTTCACTTTTAGTTCCCATTGTTAACAACTGCTATTTCACTTTCCCAGTTTTAAGTCCCTGCTGTTCTCTTTATTGCCCACATAGTTCCAGCTAAGATAATGTTCCGTTTCTCCTTTGTCCCTCAGCCAACCCATCATTCTGTCCATTTCTACACACTCATAAATCTTTTTAATTATGGCATCTTCCGATGGTATAGTAGTAGATTTCCAAAATTGCGCATAGGTTATTCTTGCGGCCACAATTATATGTAGGCCCAAATGCCATATAGATTTACTCATGTCTTCTGGTTTTATGCTTAGTAAAAAAGTCTCGGGTTTCCATTCCATACTTGCCCCGGTAACCTCTTTTAGCCAGTTTTGTGGGATCAGAATT